CTTTCCCCAGGTAACCTCTGATGACACTGCTGTGACACTGCTCAGGACTGACAATTGGCTGCTCATGCATCAAGCACTGTATTGTGGGACATGAAATGTGTCCCATACAAGGAAGTACCAACATTTGCCAGGCAAGCAATGAGTACAGACACCCCCAGGGTGACTACTGTACAGTACTAAGAGAAATGGGTTTGTCTATGGGAGATAACTCATATCGGTATCTGTGTCATAAACCCGGCCGCATAGACACCAGAAGCAATACATGACCAATGCTTTCAGCAAAACCCTTATTTCCGGCTCCCCTACTAATGTGTGGGACTCTCATTTCACCCAACATTAGCCTGACCCTCTGACCTGGCCAAGGTGGCCATTCCTGCACATAGTGTTAGTGTTTAGGAATGTGTCACACATTCACACCACGCCTGTACATCATTCACAGCGGGGACCCCCATAGAGCTGAAACACTCACCGACAACTGGTCCGGGCCCCTCCAGACGCGGCCCGGATCCACCACCCACAAGTCCGATCGATTATTGGCTATTAACAAACCATGGCCCAGACAGCCAATCGTACGTCTTGTTCTATAAAACAGCTTCTATTGGCTATTGAAGTGACATTTCCCCTTCCACTCGATACCATATTTTGTGTGGGCAAGAGGCTCAGCTGCCAGTGCAAGCAAGGCCAGGAATAAAACAAGAAAAAAATACTAGGTTACTGATATAGGCAGAAATATTAATCAACAAGCTGTGTGTTTGTTCTAACAGACCTAGGCAGGTGATACAATCGTATTATGGGCTCGACTCCAGAATCAAAGATGACCGCTTCTTGGAGCACCACATGCCTGCGTGCGTTCCAGGCCTCGCCCACATGTCCTATTGGCAATAGGGTTTACATCCTGTGACGTCAGGAGAAGTTGCTGCCGCCGGGGCTGACGTTGGAATCAGAAGTGAGTATTACCGGCAGGTTGGACATGTGACTGGGCTACGTACCTAGAGGGCAGTTGGCGGAACCTGGGTACTAAGTGTGGGGCACAGAGCGCTGTGTGAGAGGAGGAGGCCGCTGGCGACCTATCACAGCTGTCACTGAGGAGCGGACTGGCGGCAACATTCAAGGTCAGCTATGAAGAGAATAGGTAGAGTCGTGCCGCGGTGTGCTTTCTACCATCTGCCCGGCCCTGCATTCTCTATAGAGGGCTCAGTGACTGGGCTTCTTCTATAGAGGTCACTCGGCTACCTGCAATCCAGTGCAATGGTGCGACACTTGCTTGAAGGATTGCAGCCAATGTCTGACATATAACTGACCACACACTCTGATTGTACAATCTCCTTTAGATTTACTAGAACTATGTATTATGAATACAAACCCATTTATATCCAGTCACACGGGTCCCAGCTGTTGGTAGGTCTAAAGCAGATTGTACAGTGTATGGCCAACAGGAGTGTGATCAGGACAATTGGGAATGTTGGCTGACTCTACATCTTCTCTTTAAAGATAATTAGTCACAAATGGGCTGTTGGAAGAGACTGTTATGGCCTAATGTGGATCTTTAAAGGGTAAGTGCACCTTAATACAAAGTACACTTGTTGTTTTTGGTCCCCTCCCCTGGAGTAAAAGATCCCTCCCCCGCCACAGATCCCTACTAACTGAGACCTGATGGGTACAATGCCGCTATTGTTTGCATCTAGCCCATAGCCTTCTATGGGGATGCCTCCTACCCAGGAGACTTGCAGCACTGGATGTCAACAAACAGAGCAATTTCCCCTGATCTGTAGAGGGTGGGATCGTTTACATGAATATTCATACTATTTCTGTGTGAAAATTCTCAACTCCTTTAGTAAATCAGCCTCTGCATGTCTCTTCTGCAGTATCAGCTCCTCTTCTCCTAGTGAATGTGCAGCCTGACTCTGTCATCTGTCCTCTATCTATCTATACACACACAATGGGGGGGATTCATCAAAATCTGGAGCAATGGATCTGTGAATGGCAACCAATCAGCTTATCTCCTCAGTTTGTTGAGTTAAGATCTTAAAATGAAAGAGAGAAGCTGATTGGTTGCAATGCATGCCTACTCCAGATTTAGTCAGCTCCAGTTTTGATGCATTCCCCCCAATGTGCCTTTGAACTTACTAGCAGTTTTGACTTCTCCAGGAAGAGTCAGTTCCCTAGCACACCAGAGTCCTCCCCTCTTATATGTGTTTCTAGTTACTGTCTATGCTGGCCCTGCTCCTTCTCCTCTCATAACCTTTGATGTAGCAGATGGGGAAGGAGCGAAGGGGATTACTATAGAGTGTAACTGGAGTGACAGCTCTGAGTCTTCTGGGGTTGCTGACATCCATGATGGTGGTGCCATGTAGTTGTCAGGGGGCTCATACAGGTAAATGACACCTAAAATACACATATAATCTTATGAGAAGATTTTGTTACAATTAATGGTCTGGTCACAGGGTCTCTTCTAGTATGTAGATTCTTTCGGCAGCCCCATTGTGACTGGTCCTCTTTAAATTCAGATGCCATTGCTCCGGGTCATATCATTGCTGGCTGATTTACAAAAGGTGAAAAACTTGGCAATAACTATCACGCTTGTTGTGATTTTCCTCCAGGTCTTTTTAAATGATGGATAATGAGTATCTGATCATTTTGTAGCATAACAATAACAAGACCTTGTGTTGTTCCTTTTGACCAATACTGTTTGTGATGCTGAGCGGTCAGATTATACCGACATTGCTCAGTGCTTTGTTACTTCTTGCTGTTTTTAGGTCCCCATTGATGGGAGAACCCATTCACTTCACCTTTCAGTAGACGAGTGATTCCATATGTGACAGTAAATAGATCTGTGCTGTCAAAAGGTGATACTGCAGACCATTGTCCTATACAGTACACATCCTCTATCTGCAATGTTTGTTTATGGTTCAGAACATGACAGTTCACAGGCTGTGAGTTGTCTGCTTCTGTCTAGTACGTTCCAGTTCTGTGGCTCTATGGCTGGTTTGTTTGTGACTTGTCTATTGGAACTAGAGCCGGTGAAATCTACAAGTAATATATGTTTGTAAACCCTCCAATTAGCCTCTTCATTTGTATCTTATCTAGGTGTGTGTGTGTGTGTGTGTGTGTGTGTGTGTGTGTGTGTGTGAGTGTGAGATCAGTGGTGAACTCATTTGTATGGAAGCCAGAAAGATTTATAGCTGACTTTTACCCAGTTTGGCTACAAATCACATCAGCCTACAGCTCTGCATGCTGATATGAAATCATCTTACATTCAATAGATGAACATATTTTTACTTACAATGATTTATTAGTGATGTAACCTAAGAGATGCATCCTGGGAAAGTTACATCAGCAGAACATTGCTGGGAAATCTAATCTGTAATCTCACAAGATCTCAGGGAAAGGCATTTTCCTCCCCTGAGATGATGTGTGGTCACATGTCCTAGTCACATATTCCAGGAAGTAAAAGGGAGATGTATAAATCTTCCCTTAGTAAAAAATGGCCAGTGTGAGACGAATGGGGAGGAAAAGAAAAATAAGTTATGCAAAGAATACAAAGCCGGCAATTATCTAGAAGTATCTGTTTGTAGATTGTCATTTCTAAAGGTGCCTTTGTTGTCATTTCAAAGACAAGGGTAATGTTCCCAATTAAGAGCCTGCAACTTTGGCTAGCTGGCTCCTGATGCTTGTCCAGCACTGAGATATAGACTGGCAGGCATGTGGTAAACACGAGTGGACACATTCTTTACATTTTTTAGGCTTTTTCAGCTTGTTTGTGTATATTGTTTAGTCAAATGTTTCCAAAGGTGTTTTTCCTGTCTTGATTTGATGCAGTGAAGTGAAATGTGTGGAATATTTATGATACTCAGCAAAATGCATGCCCCTGTTTTTCCTAAATTGTTGGTATGTTTTAACAATATTTAATCTGCTGCAAAAAATCCTGCCGGGCACCAGACTTGGCTTCCTTTTCATGGAAACCTCTTAGCCTAAACCATAATCCAACGCAAACTATTATTACTAATAATGTATTCATGGGACAAGTTCTAAATTCATCTTGGTGGGACATCTTTAGAAGCTCTGTACGTCTACCGAACTGCAAGAAACATTTCTCCACGTCTTCTAAGTTGTTTGTTGACTTATTTGCACATTGATTGCCTCTTCCAATTGGAGTCACATGATCATAACTAGAGGTGCACCGATATGAACATTTCTAAACTGAAACGAAACCGAAATAAACAAAAATGTCAGGCCGAAACCGAAAATGTATTTTGTTTTAACTTTTTTTTTAAATATTTTATTTTTATTTGTTTATAAACTTCTTAATTTTTGTATTAAATATTTTTCTTTTTTTTTACTTTTGGGGGCTTTGGGGAAATATTAAACTAAACAGACCCCTGATATTTCCCTTTTTAAAATAGAAAAAGAGATTGAGGACACAGAGTCCTCAATCTCTATCGCCCCTATTATAAATGAACAGGAATCCTCTATACTGAGAGTTCCTGATCATTCATAACATGAGAACAAAGTATGTTTGCTATAACCCCAATCATGAATGAACAGGAGGTGGTGTAGATCACTCCCATTCATTCATAATTGAGGATAAACATACCACGAGTAAACATACTATGTCCTCAATTATTTACAAACACTTGTTTGTAGCTCGCTCTGCTTCCTGACACGCTGTCACAGGAGGCTGAGCGAGCGGTGCAGGTAGGAGAGCTCGATCTGACAGCTTCTCCCCCTCACTGCCGGCAGGCCTCCTGTGACGGCGCTGGCTGTCTTCGCCCCCACACCGCTCTCCTCCAATCTGTGACAGGAGGCTGAGCAGTGCAAGGAGAAGAGACGCCGGACGCTCACAGCGCTCTCCTCCTGCAGCGCTTGCCCGCCTGTGACAGTTTCTCTCCTCCCCACCGGGACACAGAGCAGCGCCCAGCGGAGAGGAGAGAAAGAACGGATGCCCGCTGTATCGGCCAGAAAATGGCACTTTCGGCATTATGCTAAAAGTGCCATTTCAGCCGATATGTTTCGGCGGCTGATATATCAGTGCATCCCTAATCATAACCTCCTCATTGGAGTGACTTTATCATGACCTCATCAAAGAGACCAGCGAGACCTAGCATCAACCATGGTGGCACTGGAAGCTTATTGTGACGCAACCATACAGTCCACTATTCTATATAAATTAATGGAAACTCACTAAAAGCAAAAATACATTGACATGTACAGTACAGTGATGATAGCAGCTGTGTTTTACCTGCCTCCTCCAACTTTACTGTTGCTCCAGTTAACCCATACTTACACAAGGTCCGCACATTACATATGATGTCTATACTCCTCTACTGCACACGCTCTCTGCCATCATACCCTCCACACTTCTCTCCTCTTCCACTTCTCTTTTGCCTGCAGTCATACTCTGTGTAGTCCTCTTCTTTATATACTTCCCACTGTCATAGTCTCCCCAATCCTCTACTGCACATACTGTCATTGTACTCCTCTCTAGCACATGCTGCTGGCTGTCATACCCTCTGCCCTTCTCTATCACACACTGCCCGCAACCATACCCCCTGCCCTCCTCTCCATCACACACTGCCCGCAACCATGCCCTCTGCCCTCTCCATCACGCACTGCACGCAACCATGCCCTCTCCATCACGCACTGCCTGCATCCATACCCTCTGCCCTCCTCTGCAGCACACACTGCCCGCAGCCATACCCTCTGCCTTCCTGTCCAGCACACACAGCCCGCAACCATACTCTCTGCCTTCCTGTCCAGCACACATTGCCCTGCAGCCATACCCTCTGCCTTCCTGTCCAGCACACATTGCCCTGCAGCCATACCCTCTGCCTTCCTGTCCATCACACACTGCCTGCAGCCATACCCTCTGCCTTCCTGTCCAGCACACACTGCCTGCTATCCTACCCTCTGCCCTCCTCTCCATCACACACTGCCGGCAACCATACCCTGTGCCCTTCTCTCCAGCACGCAGCCATACCCTCTTGCCTCCTCTCCAGCATGTGCTGCCCGTAGCCATACCCTCTGTCTTCCTCTCCAGCACACGCTGCCCACAGCCATATCCTCTGCCCTCCTCTCCATCACATGCTGCATGCTATCCTACCCTCTGCCCACCACTCCTACACGTGTTGCCAGCAAGGACACTCCTTTTGTATTTTTATTGTAATATCGCTAACCTTACCTGTTTTGGAACAGACACAAGTTTGCTTTTTTATTATTTATTTATTATAGTAACAACCTCTGCCTCGCTCTTTGGCAAAGTGTCTTATTTGGACCATGTCAGCACAGCTTGATGCAGGAAGGCCTCAGATGATCTGTCAAAGTGGTCTTTACTCTGAAGTGGAGCTAAACTCTGAAAATAAAAATTGCTGGGAGCTAGAGGTTTTTTGTGCAGGTGACATATGCAAAGTCTTATTCCCCTCGCAATTTTTTTTTCTTTGTACTTGTATGTGCTCATGTGCAGTAGTTATATCATCATTGGCCACCCAATGGCTGAAGAGGAGTGAAGGGAGAATGGGAAGATGGAGTGGGACTGAGCGGTGACTAACAGCCTGGATAGCACAGTTATGGAGGAGGGATTTCTTGTAAAGTGTGCACAGAAGGAGCTCACTCCCTCCATTTTATAGGAAATTTGTCAGGAGACGAATACTGGACCGGCCTTTACTGACTTGGATTAGAAGACGCATTCTCTGGAGTTGTGGAAGTGTGATGGGAGGTTGATCAAAGATAGAATTCGGCTTTATAGTCTATTATCATAATTCTATTCCTATCTCTTCATATTCCTATTTCAGATTGAGAGGCACATTATTTCCTCCTTCCGTCAGATTACTCGCTGTAGGAAGGGTGAATCCCTTAGACTGTTGTCTGCTCACCTTTTCCATTTGTTGTTCTGTCATACTCGTAGATCAGGATGGTTGCCCACACCCGTGTGATTCATCCATAGCAAGTTGTTCTAGACGCCCTAAAAAGACTCATCTTTCCTGTGGTCAGTTTAGTACATGAATCCGTGACGTGGAGAGTTGTAGCTTTTGGAACAGGGGCCAATTTCTCCTGACTGAAGTATAATTATAGCTCATGCTTTATATTGCTGAGTGTATGCACGCTCTGGATGATATTTTCATCTGGTATGAAGAGTCACATTTTAGTAGATTTCTCTCCATCAGTCTTGTATGCACTTACTCATCTAGATTTGTTCTTGCATGCACATCGCATGCAGATCTTTTTGAACAGACATTTCCAACCCTTGCCTTATTACAGTGTCTTGTTATATGATGTACAGTAGTATGTAGTAGAACTCTGCTTTCCTTAAAGTACAACTGAAGTCAGGAGAGTGGAGAGCGCCTGTCAGATTTGTATTACTGTCTGTGTCCCCGACAGGGAAATTCACACTCTAGTGAAAGAAAATCCCAAGTTTTGGGTGGTCATCATAACAGGAATAGATGGCGAATCTTCCAATGGGACCACCAGGCATTTCCTCTCACTTCCAGTTGTGGGTATCAGACAGGAAGTGAAGGGAGGTCTCCCCAATGGAACATTGGAAAAAAATGACCGGGGCTATAACTGTCCCATACTCAATCCAAAACTAAGAAAAAGTATTGGCTTCAGTTCTACTTTAATTGCTATTGGTAGGTATGAGCTGCACGGTGTCCCTGCTCTTTGGATTGTGTACATGTGTTTTCCTGGCTGAACTAACCTTGACATATCTGAGATTTTTGTTGGCAATAGTTAACCGAAAGCAGCATAAGTTTAGGTTGTATATAGCTTATACTAGACAATAAATGTATTTTTATTTCATGTCTTCAACTCCGAGGAACCTGACATATTTCTTTCCCTTATTTTTTACTTCAGAATACAGCTGCATATTTTTTTTATGCTTTCTCATATGGGTAATTTTCTCTTTATTCTACAGTGAGATTTTTTATAAAATGTATTGACCTGGAGCAACTGTGTAAATGTATATCGGTATAATTCACAAATGGATATGGAATTCAGGAGCCAGTCTGCCCAATCATCCAAGAGCCAGCAGGATTTTTTTTTTAGGATCCAGCAACTAAAGAATACTTAAAGTCAGGCGCCGGCTGTAATTTTCAAGGAGCATTGGCAACCTGGCTGCTGTTATGTAATTTGTCATAAGTTGTGATCATGATGGATTTTGCAGCCTGTTTGTTAGTGTTTGCCATGCCAAAAAAATTATTCTTAGTGTTGGGTACAGTGAAGAAGTCTAAGAACCCCTGTTAGGCTTTTAGTGCTATCTAGGGCTTTTTTTAGGGTCTATTCACACCAGCCACCGCGCTACATCGCACAGCGGCTGGTGTGTGGTGCCTGGCACAGTGCAGATACGCCAATCCTGTCTTGACACATTGCACTATGTACTTCTTCTTTTTTTTTTTTTTTTAAATTTAAACTTTATTGAAATGTCAAGTTCTACGGGCACCGTAGGCGGGTGTACTGCATCAGATCTCACTGCGCTGAAAAAAAAAGTACTGCATGCAGTACTTTTTTTTTTTAAACACATACCACCACGTTACCACTGCAATGCGGTAATTTGAATGGTGCCCATCTGTGACGAGGTAAATTGCCTTGTCTTACATTGGGGCTGTGCTGGAGAAAAGGCCAGCACAGTCCAAACGCACGTGAGATTTCCCCTCACGTTATGTGCTATGAGCAACATTTTACCAGATAGGAAGTGGGGGGAATTCTCCAATATCAATATATACAGAACTAAAAATTTATTTTTTGGTAGCACAGGGAAGAGCTAGAACATTTGCAAGATTTTTATTCCTGCTTGTCACGAGATTGCAGATTTTCCCAACTTCTAGTCTGCTAATGCCATTTTCACTAGGACAGAAAGTGCAGTTTCCCTGATAGCAGTGGAAAAACGGGCTCTAATCCTTTCCACTAGGGATGCACCGATACCGAGTATTTGGGTGAGTACTTGCCCAAATGCACAGATACCTTCCCCGGTACCGGAACTTCTGGTCAGAAGGAGATTCCCTCTTACTGGCAGTTCCGCGAGGGAACATGGAGCCAGTTTCCCAGCCAATCCTGATTTTCTGGGATGCTGGTTTGATGCTGATTGGCCAGGAAGCTGGCTTGATGCTAATTGGCCAGGAAGCCAGCTTCCCGGGGCCAATAAGCATAGAGCCAGCCAAACAGCACGGGTAATGACACGCCGCCTAGCTTCCTGATTGCCCGGGAAGCCGGCTCCATGCTACCGGCAGTATCGGTGAGTATCGAAATACAAATATCGGAACTCGATAGTGAAAACGGTATGGGTGCATCCCTACTTTCCACTGTATCCATAACTAAACATAAGGTTTACATTTTAATTAGAACGTTTTCCGTTCTGTGGCAGTTTTACAAAGCAGCTTGTCGGACGCATGTCAGAGAAATGGTAACCTCTTCCACACAGCAGGATGTGTTTTTGTCTTTCAGTGTGCTGTCGGGTTGTGGAAGGCTACACAGGATGAATATGTGTAGTTGATTGTATGGCCGATGTGCGCAGACATTTTTTTACGGTAAGTGAACTCTATGCCTTCGACTATTGTTAGTCAATGCAGGAATAGATGCAGCATTGGCTGGTTTTGTCTACTGACCGGTATTTATCTGTGCTAGTTAACTGAATGGTGAGGTTCAAAACTCCTCAAAATGTATGTTTAATAACAAGCCCTGTGTAACCTATGTGTAATGGCAAAATAACAAGAATTGTGTGACGATAAATACTGATAGGAAATGTTCTGTACAGTTCTTCCCCTTTTTATAGGTCTAGCCTATTTAGAAGGGTTTTTTTGCCAAATATTCCAGTTCAAATTCTATGACAAATTCCTCAGATGAGAAGTTATGCTGTAAAAACCTGAACTATCTTGAATTGGCAAGGTTTGCCTGTTGTGTGCACAGGACCAGTTGTGCTTGAATCACTAGCTGTGACATACACCCAGTAGGAGAAAACAGTGATGGTACAATTACATGTATTGTCTGGGTGAACTAGTCCTAAAAATAGCAGGTTGTTCTCCTGACACTTTTTCCTTTTATAATTGAACTTGTTGTTATAACCGGCCTTGCTTTGTTCCCAATCCTTATAGGGCAACCACATCTAAAACGTTTACATTTACTTTTCCAGCTCGACTATGGAAGAGCAGATGCGGACTGTTAATATTGTGCTCTTTGTGGAGAGATTTCATAGTATCAGATGCTGCACTGGCTGTTACGTTTAGTTAGAATGGTTCTCCAACAGGTTGCTCATAATATGGATTCGGTAAGTTCTGCTCTATAATGTACTTGGGAAGATTAAAGAGCACCTAACCCCAATATAAATATTTAGTATATGAATAAACTTCATATTTCTGTATAGATTATCTATTGCAGTTTGGTTTCCTACCCCTATTCCTTTTCTTTCCTACCAACATTCTGAAATCATTTTAATGAGTAATACCATTCAAATTATTATGACTTTTTAAATGTGATATTGAAGCTGAGGATTTGAGTGCCATCTTGGAGAGAGGACACAAATGTTAGTGAAGGCTAAGAGGTGGAGCTCTCGGCTATTTTTCATATGTGTTTTAGAAAAGATTGTTTTATAGTGTTCAGTAGCTGAAAATGAGAATAGCACATATAAGTATTGAAGTCGGAGCAGCTCCTCCCTCCCTTCTTCCTTCCCTTCTTTTCTTCTTCTCCTATTGTTCTGTCTGAGGTTTCTACTTCATTACAATGTAATGAGCATCTCAAGTAACCAGCGTCTCAATGTTTTTTCTTCCCCCAGATGTGGTCAAGTAAACCATATGGTTCATCTCGTAGTATTGTCCGAAAGATTGGGTCAAATCTGCCTATGCTACAATCGCCAAGAGTTCACTTCCAGGTATGATGCATAGAAAAGTTGTGCATGCCTTAAGTTGTAACTGAGATTAGCAAAGTATAGGAATAAATGACTGCTAAATGGTGTTTTTATATGGAATGTATGATTATTTAGTGCATGGGTAAGCAACCTAGGCACTCCAGCTCCCTCATGGGACTTGCAGTTCCACAACAGCTGGAGTGCTGAGGTTACCTACTCCCTTCGTAGCAACCTGACTTCTGGTAATACAAATTATGATTATTTGGTGATGGCTTTATTCTATGAGATATTTTGGCATAGTCTGTACAGAATATAAACTAACGTTTACTGCATAGCATGGATTCATTAGCACCGTTTTATGTGACAAAACAGTTGATAGAAAAAAAAAAGTGCATTTAGTATATCATTCCTGATTAAAAGCAGCAGAGCACTCTCGCACAGGACAGTGACTAGGCCTATTTCACAGAGACACCGTGGAATGAATCAACATGCATTCAATTTTCAGGAGAACAGCTAAAATTGCCTATTGTAAGAGCTGCGTCATCCATAATAGATTCGGCTTGCACTGTTCCGATGATCAGGTTGCCTTACTCTGGATCTGCTTTAGCAGGGATTGCAGTATCGTGTGTTTTGTCCTTGGTTATAGTTGTGCGAGACGCCTTCCGCATTCCACCATTTTCATCCCATAGGATCAGGTGATTGACTAGTCAACATTATTTTCATTTAAATGATACAATCCAGGTAAAAAATGTAATTGAAATCAACCCAATCAATTTTTTAATGTTTGTTTTGTGCTGAGCAATTCTTTCAATCAGAAGATCATTTGGAAAGATTTAATTTGGGATCATTGGTTTTCTGTATACATAGTATAAGACAAACTTTAAAACACCCCCATAGATCCTTCAAATATTTCTTGCCCATTTTAAGGAAATTAACTAAATTTAATCTAAATGTTCAGATGTTAGTCTGCCAAGTACTACAAACACTACAAGGAAGTTCTGCTGCTTTGTGTTAAGTCTGAATGGATCGGAGGCTCCTTGCTGCTACATGGGGAGGTCATAGTGACAGGGTTTCTTTACAAACTAAGTATTAAAAGAGAACTATGGGGTAAGTGTTTTTCTCCGTAGTTCTCTTTAGGGTCATGGGAGGACATATACTAACCTCCTACCGTGACCCAAATTTCAGTACATTGCAGGCTATTGCCCCTGATATACTGAGAGCGCCGCAGCCGGGACGGATCCCAGCAATACTGTCTGAGGCAGAGCCCCCCGCCCCATTCGTTCCACCACTCAGCGCTGCAGGATCGGAGAGGGGTGTCACTGCGGGAAATGTTGATTGACAGTGACCGCTCACTGCAGGGAGACGATCGGGAAGTGAGCGGATCGGCGGCATGTTTCTGCTCACTTCACGATCAATAGGGCCGACCTGTGACAGGTTCTTTGTCACAGGCTGGCTCTAACTATGAGGATGAGTGGAAATCACCAGCCTCATAGTTCTCCCTTTAACTTCCTAGTAATTGCATAAGCTGGATTTTTCCCTATTTATTTATGCAGCCTATTAGCAATCTTTTAAATGTGTAATTGGGCATATCAAAATCATTAGGAGTCTGATGATAGCAGTAGTGTTTATTAGAATTAGTTTAGATGCGTGAGAGCCAGCGTGTAGGTGATAAAAGAATTTCTGGACACTGTGTTCCTGTCGGTCCATTCTGTAGACTGCAGTGCATGGTGGGAGTGATGCCCGGGACCTGACAATGTTATCTGTGTTCTCATTATGTAATTAATGCTGCTTTAGAACAATGAGCGTATTTAGCACAATCTGTTGGGTAAGAAATGTCAACTAGAACTCTTACAAATGTATTTTACCTAGTTTGTGTGTGCAGGTGTTTGTGTTGTTTATATTTTCCTCATAAACATAATTGGGTTTTTCCATCTGCCAATTTATTGCCTTTTTATTGTGAGGTAAGGCACATTTTATGGGATCACTTGCAGACAACAAATGCACTAAAAACCAGCAGCCATTAGTCAAAGATTATCCCTGAGTCTCTAACTAATCGATTTTGAAAATAATCGTTAGCTGCAGCTCTACTCGTGTGTATTTTACTGCTATAGTGAATCCGTGCTTGCTGTGCTGCCATTGTAGACCTTGAATGACTCATGTAGGCTCTCCTTTGCTTAGTTTTGGGCTTGCACCAACGAGCACTGAATGCATTGGTACAATTGTCCTTTAATCAATTCCTAATAATATGAAATCACCTGCACTCCATGCAGCGTACAGACCTTGAGTAAGAGGTTGGTGCTTGAAGTGACAACACGGATGGCGCTGTGTCAGATACAGTCCATAATAGAAGTCACCAGCACTCGATGATATGTAAAGCACTTTTTATTCAATTGTCACATGCTTTACTTCTTGCACATATCGAGTGCTGGTGACTTCTATTGTGGACTTTAATCAATTCCCTCTCGCCCTGCGAGTGCAGCACTCCTGCTCAAAAACGTGTCTTTCTCCTCAAGTCATCGTTCTTTGTTGTTCGGCTGCATAGCCTTTCCAGCAAAAATTTCCCCATGGGGATCTTCCTCTTAGTGTACCATGGCCACATTGATTCCTATCGATAAGCCATACTCATGGTGACTTGCAGTGCTCCAGCAGAATATGGCTTAAGGTGCCCATACACTGGCTGAATTTCGGCCGGTTTTCAGGTGGCATCCCTCGATCAGCTGATCCAAGGAGCCGGCTGGAAAATCTTCGTACGATTAGAGACGCCAGCTAATGAGCTGCCTGCTCTGATCGGGTATTCTGACAGCTGCCGGTGGCACCTGTCAGAATACAATGCAAACAGCGGCGATTTCCTCAACCGACACGCTGTTTGTGTTAATGGAGTAATCGCGTCAATTTTGTTTCGTACAGCCCGCGGCTTGAACAAAAAAAATTGACAGGTGTATGGCCAGCCTGACTCATAAGAATTAAGCACTTAGAGGACATTTTTGCTGGAAAGGCAGTTGGGTAATGGGCCCGATTTGAAGAGGAAGGTCATTATTTGGCCTGGTAAGCTGCATTCGGAAGTGGAGGAAATTGATTAGAGAACAACTGTGCCAAAGATTGCATTGTCCTTCCAAGTGTATGTAAACTCTAAAGGCTTGTTCACACTAGCCCGCATGCTAAAAGGTTTAGTATTAGTGTCAGGTCTGCTGTTCGTTGGGCTTCCTTTCTGGTCTGCACATGCCTTCTGTATTCCTGCCAGGAAGGCCAACAGCTAACTAAAGGAGAGCATATGGCCGGCTGACAACTCTGCTTCGAATTGTGAGGCAGTGGCCTAGCATTGCCGGTCTGCAACCGGAAGGATCTCCAGATAAAAACCTTGCAGCAGATTCACAAAAAACAATCTGCAAAATAAAACTGTACAAGAAGCCATGATGCCAAAAATACTGAAAAATAGATTTCGGGTTTAGATACACTTTAAAGGTGATGATTTTCACTTGAGATTCACATAGGATTCTCTTTTTCCCTTGCTTACATTTAGTATTCCTATTTTAAAAATGCAGGAACCCTTCCTACTGTCTGACTGAATTGTGATCAGATTCATACTAAACCTCTTTGTGTAAGCTTATGCCACAATACCAGGTTTTAACTTTAGGTGACATTGTGTGCGGCTGTCAGTAAAGTTGGGTTGATGTGAGGGGGTATTCTCTTACTATGTGGGCGAGTTCAAAGCAAATGGGACATTTCAGGTCAACTGGGAATCCTCTTAAAGTATAAAGTCGCCTTCAGTAGGAAACACTGTGTATCTAATGCTGGGGTGTAACATTTAATATGCATACTTTCATCTGTAGCTTGGATAATGGTCTATGACAAGGTCTTTCTCATTTTGTAATGGTTTTGAAATATGTTATGAAGTAATTAATAACGAGTTGACATGTGGCCTGTAAAGAAATTCATCTTCTGTGATCTCTCCTCCTCCTCTGCTGCATCCGTTCTGTGAAGGAACACGTTTGTGAACTGCTAGGTCAGTGCTTCCTCCGGAGTGCTGCATGCCGTCTTGCCATTTTTGTGCATGTCTGTCAGAACTGTCATTATGTACATATACCAATAACACACAAGTGCCTTGATTACATTTGGACACTGACTGGGCTCAATACATTGTTTCTGTCTAACACCTAGAACGTTGTAAAGAGTGATTACTTTTTCATGTAAAGCTGAATACCGGGCACAGTGAACTTGGGTTATAGCAGTTGAAGCCTCTGATTACTCAAAAGCCACCTCCCATGATGACTGCTACGTCTTTAATCCTCCAAATCTACTTGTTTACATGCTGGTAGGAGTACCCTGCGGTCCTTCTGTGCCTGCTCGGATGTAAGCGCTGCAGGTCTCATAGACCTCAGTACTACGATCACATCTCCTCCCCCCCCTCTCCTGCTGGTCAATCACAAAACGACACTTGGGTTGTGTATTTTGTCAATGGCCAGGAGGAGAGGAGAGGGGAGTGGAGACGCGAACATAGGGCTAAGGTCTGTTGGGACATGTAGCGCTTACATCTGAGCAGCCACTAAAGTACAGCGGGTGCTTACTTCAGTTCACATGTAAACAAGATTTGTGGAATTGATAGAATAGTGCATTTTCAGTGGTGACCAGCAGAGAGAAGACTTTATAAGCAATCTATGGAGTCCCCCGAAGTGGGATTTTGGTAAGTGTGCATCTGTGGAGGGTGAGGGTGGGCTCTGATGTCAGTTCAGGGGGGGCAGAAAGAAGTGCACTTACTCTAACAGGGTTATTCACAAAAGGGTGAAGAGTTTGGAGAAGGCAGGAGAAGTGAACAATCTAGGACAACATAGCTGAACTGGAAAGTGAGCTGAATTAGAGAATTTTTCCAAATCCGCTATTTTGGTCTAGATTGTTCACTTCTCCTGCCTTCTCCAAACTCTTCTCCCTTCTGCGAATAACCCTGTACAATTCTTTAAAAGGAAGCAGTCATCACGGTAGGTGCCTTTTGAGTAGTCGCAGACTTCATCTGCTTTGTTAGTTCATCATGCCCAGGGTACAGCTTTAACCTTTGGTTCTGACTAAGCAACATCTAAACATCTCTGAGTTATCAAATCACTAATAATAAATCACATAACTTTATAATAAACTAAACTGTAAAGAGCAACGAAGCCGCACAAAGTCCTATTGGGTTTATTCACCCAGGCAATGTATTTCCAGTATTTTTCTTTTTATTCAGGATTAAAACCTGACCCAAACACCAAATCCATCAGTAGGATATGTCTCCTCACTAACCTATTATTTTTCAGAAACTGACAATTAACTGCAGTGTAAAGTGTATATCCCTAGTTATATCTCACTGCCCGAATGCCACTTTGTTTTACTGTAATATTTAAACCATATTTATAAGAGGGGGCTCAATAATATCCATGATAGCTGTATGCTGTGATGTGTAGACTTAAAGAGCACCTGTCATTTCCTCAACACTGAAATGCTGTACAGAAAGCAGGTCGGCTTTTTTTTTTCTTGTATAAATTTTTATTGAAAACAGACATATACATACATAGGTATGCAATACCAATAGGAAAGTCCAGGTGCACAATTTACAATTGAATCATACAAAACATGGGTGGATCCCTTGAAGCATGTAATGGGGATAGACAAACTCTAGACTGAGGAGTTTAGCTTTTTTATTATGAAGTGTTTCAGGGTTATTTTGTGTGCAGTTTTTCTTCCAGTTATGTGCCACTTCTTATTGTACAGTAAACCCCCCATTATCCGGCATCCATGTGGATTGGTAGATTCTGGATAAATGTTGTTTCTGATTGCTTAAGAGTTACTATTTAAAAATGGCTTTAGCTAATGCTATACCACATGCTATACCACATACTTTAGCAGTATATTGTACTCTAAACCATCAGCAATACATTGCAGTACTGGGAGTGATCACTAGGTGGTGCTTGTTCACTGGACACAGCACTTTCACAAACCATCAATCAGACAACCGTTTCAATGATCCTTCAGACACTCATTCCCAGGATAATCAGCACTTTTCGGCCCCTTCCTGGACCTTTCCATGCTCCAGAGCCCGCTCTCCCTTTCCTAGAAGGTAGATTGTCAATATAGTGAGTACATAGGATTTTTTTTTTTGTTAGATGGGAGTTCCGGGTAGCTGAATACTGGATAACGGAGAGTTTACTGTATATGGTCACTGATCGGGGGAAAGATCGTGGAAAAGATACGCTATTATGTGATACTCGGCAACAAGTGAGCCTGTCCTACAACCAAACCCATAGACTAACCTGCTAGCATTTTGCTGGTGACAGGTGACCCAGATTAGAGTAGTCCTTAACATGATTAGTTCCAAAATGTAATTCAACCTTTATCATTCGAGGAAACTGGTGCAGTGTCTACCTCTCTCCTCAACACAGCACAGTGTTTATTATTAGATAACAGGTGCTCTTTAAAAGTATGTAGTAGCATGCTAAAAAATTAATACAATGTTTTTCATGTAAATTGCAGCTTATTCCATATCCTGTACTTCATGCTAGTCAGAATGGTGTTGTGGTACCCTCTTTTGCTGATGTGGGATGGCTAGCTGATGAGGAGGAGGGAGGAGAAGCATTTACTAGGCTAAGGTAAGACTGAAGTAATGTAAAGCATTGTTTTTTTCCTTTGGAGGGTGGAGTTGTCATATTCTGCCAAACAGCAGCTTTGAGTAGAACTATGGCTGCCAAAGAGATATGCTTTGCCCCGTCTAGAATGTTAAAAAAAAAAAAACACTGCTTACCCAAAATCAATGAAAAGATTGTGATCCTTGCTGCAAAGACTTTGTGTGCATTGAGATGTGTTAATCTGACTGACTGGCCTGTGATCCTCTGGTCTTACTATTTTACCCATGATACTTGGACCTTTGTTCTGCAGTCTGTCAGTTTTCCACATAGAAGACTGTGGGGCGTTCTAGCTGTACATTCAGTACATTCAGATCCATGAAAGTAAGGTGCTGGATCCATACACTGTAGTCTGGACAGTAGAATAGTGAAAAGTGATTGCAGCTTGTGTCACCACAATACTAATTGTCTCAAAGCGTGAAAGCAAATCTTGTTTAGCTTGTGTCACCATATTGGATGTCCATCTTGTTCATTAAAAGATTTTGTATTGTATTGACCTAGCTTGAGTTTGATTAGTTTCATTCATTTTCAATGTCATTTTATTCAGGTCATATTTCTGCTCCGATTTAACCTTTTGTGAATATGTTTACAGGGCGCAGAATCATGTGCATCACAAGTTATCATTCGAAGATGAGTTGAGCCATTATGACAAACCACTCAGAAGACAGGTATCCATGCCCGCTCTTTTGAAAGAGGCACCAGAGGTGAGATTGCAGCCAGCGGCCAATGAAAACGCTTTGCAGAAGATCGATGCATTGGAAAATGAACTGGCTAACTTAAGAGCACAGATTGCCAAGATTGTTACTCTCCAAGAGCAGCAGATTGTGACTGCAGGTACTTCCATACAGGGCTTCCTGGTCAGTTATGGTGACATGTTCTGATGCATTCTTCACTCTTCCTTTGGATGCAGAGTATTTGATTGTAATGGCTTCTGTTACAGCATATAGGATTTGGGAATGTGTTGGTTTTAATATACTGCATAGTTTGGGGCATATTAGGTGCTACCACATCTTCCTAGAATCCAGATAAATGATTTTCCTGCATCTGGATTAGCATCCCATATATAAATGACATTTAGGTCTTTTTGATGAAACTTCAAATAAAATTCTAAAAAGAATAAGGACACCCACTTATGCTAGCAGTGCCTGATAGTCTGATTTGGGTGCATAGATTTCACTATATTACTGGCAAGAAAAAGAAGGTCTGTTGTGCACAGTTACTAAAAGGCCACTGAAACAACACAGCACCAGTGATGCCCACAGCAGCCCCCAACAAAACGGATGCCCACTGTCTAAAAAGTTTATTTAACCTTTAGAGCAATGCTTCTAGGCTGCGGAGCCCTCTTTGCTGTTTTGCAAATGAATAGAAATATGTCCTATTCACATGTTTTGCACTGCACCCAAGTGTACGTTTACACGCTAGCAGCACTCTTTGTAGGGTGAACCCTAAAGGGAGCAGGGGAGCGTTCCGGGTCTTCCTACATACAGAGGATTTGGCTAATAACCTAGATATCTATTCTATATATCTGTGATGGTTGTCTTTTATACAAGTCAAGCTAGTACTAGTTAGTCATTACAGAACAAGTCCAGTTGCATGTGACTGACTATTATCTCTGTTCTATATCTTTAGGAAGATTGACTGGAAATATTTGTTTTCCTTTCGTATGTAATATAAATTTATTTATTTTTTGTTTAACACAAATTCATAGGCTCAGTTGCAACACCTGTTTCACCTGGCGCTCCACCACCTCCGCCCCCTCCTCCTCCACCACTACCACCACCACCTTCTGCTGCTCTTCACAGAAGTATATCTGCCATTGACCTCATTAAATTGAGAAAAAGCCAGAAGAACAATGCAGGAACAGTGGTAGACGTTGCACCAAAGAAGCCAGACATGCCAAACATGTTGGATGTTCTGAAAGACATGAACAGAGTGAAGCTGCGCTCTGTGAAAAGGTAACTTGAACTGACGACATACTTGTATAGAGGGAGTCCAGCAGTTTCTGCTTATTTCTGTTAAGACCTTTTATAGTTGTTCGAGTGTTCTCGGGGGAATGAGGCGACTGTGTAAATTGCATTCATTTCTGTCTGCCTCCTCCCAATCTGCTGATTTTGTTGTGTAACATTCCGGAGCTGCCTGGCCCATTGATGACCTGATTCGGGTAAGCAGTGTGAATCTGGGCACATTGCTTACAAACATAAGGCTGTGTATGATCAGCGTTAAACTATTTCTTTTTCATTCTTGAACCTGTGCCCCTTATGTCACATTGAACCGCACTGTACATAAGTCTCATATTCATAATACTCTTATTATATGGACATGTACAGTTCTCAAGGGATGTAGTAACATCTAGGTATAGATCAGTTTTGGTTTGGAGTTTTTTCTGACTGACTTTCATTTTTCCAAGCAGTTCAGGCTTCTTTTCTCTTGCCATTCAATCAGTGGCACAGTGCTGGATTGTCAGGTACCTTGTGCTTGGAGTTGGTTCCCCGTGAAGTTTTGTGTCCGTAGCATCTGAAATTGTGTTGCTGTGGATAAATACATTTTCTGGAAGCAAAACTGGCTAGAAATCTTCCCGGATGAATCATTTCTATGATTAGAGCTCTTCTACTGACACAAACTCCATTTACTGCGGAATGCGGATTTGATTGAATAGAATAATTGAATTTGGAAGGGACACTTTTATATTTGCTTCCAGAAATGATCATGTCTTTAGTGGTGTGCTGTGTCTGCTTCTTGTATAATGTTGCATTCAGTGTGATAAAGAACATTGCTGATATTCGGCGTATTCATCATTCAAAATTTGCAGTCTCTGTACCTTGAAAACCTAAAGACACCATCAGTAACTAAAATCAGCCCATAGGATATATGCATTTAAGTATTTTCTGCATATTATTTACCTGGAAAAGCCTCCTTTGGTGTAGATCAGGGGGTCAGCAACCTGCGGCTCCGGAGCCACATGTAGCTCTTTCATCCCTCTGCTGCGGCTCCCTGTCCAGGGACGGAACTACGGCCCGGGCCTCGAGGCCTGAGGCTGTAGGGGGAGGCCAACTGAGGTCCGGTCCTGGCTTATTCCTGGCTTTGGAATGTTTGACCACGTCACCGGTCACACATTCCAACCTAGTCACAAACTTTGTTAGAACACCGCCATCAGAGGGGTACGGCTGGTACCCATGTGCGGGGTCTGGGCAGCCTGGGGGGCCTCTTACATGAGTATTAGCTGTACCAGGGGCTGCATGGCAGAGGTGACAGGGGAAGGGGTGGAGGAGGCCAGGCCCCAGCAGCAGGTAAGACGAGTTGCGAGGAGGTACAGGGAAAGGGACCCCGGCGACCAGCCCACCTGAGGCCCTGCAGAGCCCACCATAGAGAGTCTCAGATGGGCTGTGCAGGATCTATGGTGTGCTCAGCAGGGTCACTCTCAGGTGGGCTCTGCGGGGTCTTAGCTAGGCCCAGAGTCCAGTGCGTTACTAGGCCCAGAGTCCAGTGCGTTACTAGGCCCAGAGTCCAGTGCGTTACTAGGCCCAGAGTCCAGTGCGTTACTAGGCCCAGAGTCCAGTGCGTTACTAGGCCCAGAGTCCAGTGCGTTACTAGGCCCAGAGTCCAGTGCGTTACTAGGCCCAGAGTCCAGTGCGTTACTAGGCCCAGAGTCCAGTGCGTTACTAGGCCCAGAGTCCAGTGCGTTACTAGGCCCAGAGTCCAGTGCGTTACTAGGCCCAGAGTCCAGTGCGTTACTAGGCCCAGAGTCCAGTGCGTTACTAGGCCCAGAGTCCAGTGCGTTACTAGGCCCAGAGTCCAGTGCGTTACTAGGCCCAGAGTCCAGTGCGTTACTAGGCCCAGAGTCCAGTGCGTTACTAGGCCCAGAGTCCAGTGCGTTACTAGGCCCAGAGTCCAGTGCGTTACTAGGCCCAGAGTCCAGTGCGTTACTAGGCCCAGAGTCCAGTGCGTTACTAGGCCCAGAGTCCAGTGCGTTACTAGGCCCACATATTCCTATATACATGCTATACATAGCATAAAGGTAAAAAATTATATATGACGTGTTATCTTCATTTTTAGATGTCAAAGGGTTTTGTGGCTCCCGGTGTTTTCTTTTCTGTGGGAAACGGGTCCAAATGGCTCTTTGAGTGTTTAAGGTTGCTGACCCCTGGTGTAGATCATCTAAAAGCCCAGAGACTGCTGCTCGCCTGCGCCATCTTGGATGTGATGTAAGTAGCCCCGGCAGACTCAGAGCTGTCACTCAAGTGATACTCTGTAGTATTCACTCCTTTCTTCCCCTGCCAGCTACATAAAAGATTATGTAGGGAAGTGAAGGGAGAAGGAGCTTGGCCAGCACAGACAGTAATTAAGATGCTCTCAGAAGTGGCGAGGGCTTTATGAAAGGGCAGTGCTAGGGAATTGGCTCTTCCTGGTGTAATAAAACTCCTTAACAAGGTTAAAGACACGTTGCAATTAAATAAAAAATAGTTTATGGAGGAAAAATGCTGCAAGTAAGCTTTTAAGGTATTTGATTTTATGCTTTTACCTGAAATGTGTTCAGTCTTTATCAAGGCCTTTTTAACCCTTTTGCTGCCACAGACACAATGCAGTATGTTGGTGCAGAGCTGATGTGTACACGCATACCTGGTTGCTATAGCAAACGGGAATTTGTTCACATTTTCACTCCTGGCTGGCCATTCTGGTGTTCATTATAGCTCTGGATTGGTGCAGTAGAGCAAGGTATGCTGACCTGGTAACCTTACTCACAGATGTACCGTGAGCCCTGCCAGACCACCCAGGTGTCTCAGGGATCAGTCTTCCACCTTGCACCTTGGTCGTTGGCTTTAATGACATGACTTTTGATTCTTAGGTCCTGAGTGCATCACAAAATCCTGATGATGCAGAAGCCACACAAATCCACTTCTCACAAAGTGTACCATTGGACTTGGAAATGTACTTTGGATGGTGTGAGTGCAAGGGCTTTCACCCACCCCATGGGACAGATACTCCTTTCAGCAACTGGGTATGGACCAATGGCTGGCCCTTAGGACTGCCTTAGCTATTCCATGCAGAGACTGCTGGCGTCTCACTCTCTTTTCATTAAGGGCCTATTCACATTGTGTGTGATAATGTGCAGCATCACGTTATATGCATTGATGTGATAATATACATTCTGATTGGCACCCCCAATGCACCTTGCTGACTAATGTGCAGTTGGCTGTCAGAAATGGCACATGCACCTACCATGCTTGTGTCCTGCACCAGAAAACTAGGAGGTGGTTTCTCTGAACTGCTTGGATGTTCTTGGTGTTTGGGCCTATCTTTTAGCCACAGACTTTCAGGAAAACAGATGCTCTGTTATTCTGGATGGGGCCAGGACGGCACCCCAGCATATAACTTCACCATCTGAAGGTAGATCTGTCAAACTATTGTTTTAGGGTTCCCCTATTTCCTGTGAATGCTCACTTCACTGGGGTTGTGAGTGCTGCTTTTTGGCACATGGTCTTCGTTTTCTAGATTTTATAAGGCTGCCCCCTGGTCTTCTGTTCCCATGTTCTCCATTTCTATCTCCTAGATTTTTGTATTTAAAAATTCTATTCTCCTTTTAAAGTAACACAGGCCCCCACACGCACATGTGGCCCTCAGTGATGTATTGTAGTATTAATGTCTAATTTGTTTTACATATCCGCTGCTAGCAAGCAGTGGATATATGCAAAAACATATAAAAAGTTACCAAACAGGTAAAACCCTAACCTCTGTCCACCGCCGCTCACTCCCGGCTGTAAAAATCCGCTTCCCCGAACGGCCGTGCAGGAGGATGAGTGCAGGTGCATGCGCGGTGGAGAACAGCGGCGGGGAGAAGGAGACACAATGAGAGTCAATGCATGCCGCTGTGAGCGTGCACGTCGGAAAGACACCGTAGGACAGGAAGAGACAGCAGTCTGCGCTGGATCAGAGACTGGCACCAGTGCTGCAGGGGTTAATGTCACTTTAAGGATAAAAAAAAAAAGTACTTCCAGCTGTTCTGCAGTTTATAATATTTTGCAGCTAAATACTTTAGGAAATCTTTTGTGGCCTTTCTTTGGGAATAAATGTTGAAAATTGCAATTTGTTTACTATTATATTAAATTTCGAAGTATCGAACATTTTTTGTTTTTTAAATGAAGTTGGGGTGACCCAAAGTAGACAAAATACGGCCCCTTTGAAGATTTAGCCCTCTCAATTCGGCCTACTGCTTCATCAGGGGTTGACTTGCTTGGTGTGGCCCCCTGTGGCCTGTTTTCTCTTTAAAAAGTGTTCTCATTTTTTCCGGATAGTACCGATCCCGTTAAGCTTCCAGCTTGCTACAGATCCCTCAAACATAGACGCTGGAGTTATCCCTTTCTCCACTCAGTCATTCACAAAACGCTGCCAGCACTAACTGGTCATCACATTTTATTTGAACGTATTAAAAAAATAATGAACTTCTATTGTTTTTTTCACTCTCCTAAAGACTAGAAAAGAAATAATTGGCAATTCCATATATTATAAATCCATTCTAACAAGGGAAGGCCTACATTTGGGTAAAATGGTTACTAAGAACAATACTAACTACCAAAAAGTTCATTCCTTGGCACTGAGATCTCTACTGTTCTATTGGTTAGTTGTCTGGTCAGAGGGAATGGTACAAAAACAGCCTGAGAATTGCATCAATGCCTCTTTACCTGTTTCCTTGTAGAACACCTGATGAGTTAAAGCCTAAGCCCAGTGACCCAGCTGACCCAGCAACTCTTATTGCTGAAGCTTTAAAGAAGAAATTTGCCTACAGATATCGAAGTGACAGCCAAGGGGAATCCGACAAACCTTTTCCTAAAATCGAGCCAAAGAAAGCTGCAGAAACACCAATGGTATGTGAATGTTTGTGTTATTCTTCTGTTTGTAAGTACATTTCAGTAGAATTATTTAAATGAGGTGATTGCTATAAGTCTATATAGCAGGATTAAGTGGACCTTGCTTTTCACAGCAAGGTCTTTTAAAAAAAAAAAATATGTAAGTGATGCATTTACAACAATGAGCAAAATGGGGGGAAAACACCATTTTATCTAATTTTTATATACATTTGCCATGCTTTGTCATAAAAAACTTAATTGTAGTATAATAAACTAGACAAATTACGGAATAAAATGTATACTTCTATAGACTGGATGTTTAGAACTAGCACTGGTTAAACAATACAAGCACATTTATATATTTTTGCTAGCCAATATTGCCACAAAAGACTTATTTGTACCCAGAAAAAAGGTTAGATAGACAGACCGCCAATTTAATAGTCTCCCAAGACCTTTAAATTGTTACTGTTAAGGCATACCAATTGTCAAGGTTGCAGGTGTGCTTATTTGAGATCTCAACTAAACGTTCAAGTCCTCAAATGTCTGTTGTCATAGCTGATCAAATGTGCAACACAATGGCAACTGCAACCCAAATGGGAAGCTAAGATGGCACCTTCCTTGGCTGTAAGGGATAGAAGGTTGTATTTCCTCTTTAAAGAAAAACTCCAGGCAGACATTTTATTAACCCTTGCAGTGAGGCTACCCCCACACTGCAAGGGTTAACTGCTCGTTTTTGCCTGGAGGGTCTCCCCATCCTCTAGAAATCTAGGAATCCTCAAGTGAACACGTCCATTAGAGTAGAGGAGGTGAGGACGGGGACAGAGGATGGGAAGGGACATACCATATGTTCTAGCTGCCATATTAGCAGTTCTTTTGAGAGAATGAAAGAAATAATGGGAGTGATATGCGCAACATAGATATTTCTTTGACAGGTAGTGTCGGAATGGCCAAATCACTAAGCTATAATGATTATTTTCAGCAAGGAGAGACGCTACATTGCTGGAAATGACAAATCCACGCATTATAGTTTAGTGATTTAGAGAAACCGTTACCTTGCCCGTTCAGGACAAAGTGACTGTGTGTTTGCATAAAGACCCCCTGACCCCCAATAGTCACTTTGCCAGTGCTCCCCCACCACTCCTTTCTATGTTGCAGCCGGCATCAGAATCCCCAGTGCCAGCTGATGTTGGATGCTACGGGGAGTGCTGACATCAGTCCCTATGTGAGTGACTGTCTTTTTAAGGCCAGCGGGAATGATGAAGTATCTTTGTAACAACTATTTCTTTCTTTCTTTTCCAGTTTGGGCCTCACATGCTGAAGTCAACCGGAAAAATGAAGACCCTCGTTGAATCTGCCAATTCCTGAAAAACACGACAACATCTTTTCCAATGTCCTGACTTTTTAAAATAAGACTTGAAAAATGAGATCCAATGTGCAATGTATTTTATTCTAAAGGGATCTTGTAACTTGGATCACAATCTGTATAACACTAAACCTTGCCATGCCAAATTGTGGTGGATAATGAAGCGTTGGCTTGAATTTACAGTACTAGTGGTATAGTAGAGTCGTTATTCCAGTTCTAGGGATACCGTACAATGCTGCAGATGTTTGGTACTCGGAGGGGTGGATTCCCTCTTTATTTAGAATCGGGCACTTTATGGAACATGAAGTGTTCAGGAGTTGTGTAGTAGATAATACTTTTTATTTTGACATATATAGGAGTTTCTGATTTCCCTCCTCATGGAAAGCAAACGTTTAGACTTTCTACAGGTGCTTTTAGGCATGGTTGGAACTCAGGAAATGTTCTGTAAAGCAACATTGTGTATTTATAATTTGAATTGCTTTGCAGATATGTTTTATTTCGTAGTGGTTGCTGTTGTTTTTTTTGTTAGTTACCTGAAGTCCATTATATTAGTGGGAGCTTATGGAGTTCAGCTGTTTGTAGAATTTTAAGGAAATGAAAATGGGAGTGTTCTTCTTAAGCTTGCTATGCTTATGATTCACCCCAATAGGTATCTGAATAGCAATGGTTTTTTCTTGAGCTGTTACTGTAAGTGCTGGGCTTGTTGTTTAGAGCTCCCCTGCCTGGCAACTATTTGAACCGGCCTGCTCCTTTACCCTCATGATGCCACTTGATGTTACACAGTCCAGTTTGTTTGTAACCAATCATATCGCAGTCCATACTATTGGCCTTGAATTATATACAGTGAAGGGAATTCATCAAAACTGGAGCAGACAAAATCTGGTGCAGCTGTGCATGGCAACCAATCAGCTTCTCTCTTCAGTTTGTTCAGTTAACATTTGAAAATGAGAGATAGAAGCTGATTGGTTGTCATGCACAGCTGCACCAGGTTTTGTGTGCTCCAGTTTTGATAAATTCCCCCCATAGTTGTTTTGCATGGTGTAAAGCTGGCCCTCGATCTGGATGGAGCTTCTTTACAGCATCTCAGGAGTTTCAAATCCTTGCATGCTGTACTTGAAATTGTGACCACCACATGCATAATAATCATGCAGCCCACCCCTTCCTGCCATGTTCTCCTTCCTGTTTGCCTTTGAGTCCACTGAGCAAGTTTGCTGACCAGTAGAAAGCTACAGGAAGGGATGGGTGACCATGTGGGGCAGTTTACTTTATAGAGCATTTGGTATTTGGAGTGCCTGGGATATTCTGCAAAGTAGCTAAATACACAGGTAAGCACATGGAGTGATCTGACCCCAGAGCCAGCTTCATACCCTAAAACAACTCCACAGGTTTGCTTTACTGTGCACAGACAGGACTGATTTTTATTTTTTTAAATTAATGAAAGTTATTAGTAGATACCTAGAATGTACAGAATAGTGTCCCAAGAATAAGGTGGGGGACGCTACTTCTAATTGTTTAAATTCTCCTTTTAGAGTAATTGATTAAATGGAATGCTATGTCACCCTTATTTCTCTTTATGGCATTAGGAGAATGTGCCACACACTACATGCACCTAGGCATCGGGAGACGAGACGGCCTGTTCTTTTCCAATTGTGTGTGAGCAGTGCCAGTCCACACCTCTGCAACATAACAAAAATCTGGTTAGCCGTCACCCGCATCTATCCTAATTGTATTTTCCCCCTGTAGTACTGACCATGAGTATTATGTCATAGCTTGGCAGTTCTGTTACAGAGATGGTCTGTATCTATTGTTTTATAGAATACATAAATGAGAAAATAGTCTGTTTCCAGTATAACAATATAGAACTGCTTACAATGTGTCTGTAATAGTGTAAATACAGGTACACACTGTATTTCAGATGATGGTCTATGACATTTGTCTAAGTCATTGTGTAAAGCTGCAACTTTACAGTTCTGGGAAATTAAAATGTTGAATGCATTTTGTACATTTATACCGGTCAATTCTAGCTCAGGTTGAAGGATCTAAACCTGCAACATTATTTTGATGATTGTGTGAAAGATTTCCCTCCCAGTAATTCCAGTGAAGTCTGATTCATCCTCTAATAGCTAATGTATACGGGGTGCAGTTCCACTTTACTAGAGGGACATTGTACCCAAAAGTGGTATTCATATTCTGATAGTTGGTGCCAAGCTGATACAGGCAAAGGTTTATCCCAACCTTCTATGGGCTCAAGCTCCCCGCTGCTGGAAGACTCATTAATTTGGAGCTTTTCATGGCAGCTATTCTATAACCTGAAATGTAAGAACCCCTTTATATTTGCTGCAGCAGATGGGTCAAGTTGGACAAGTATGAGGATTCAAAGTTCAGTCTTCATCTGATATTATTTGCTACATGCTTCCGCTGGAGTTTGCAAGAATCAAAGACAGTCATTAACATTTTCTAAAGTGGATCAGCCCCTGTATTTAATTTCATTTCAGTACAGATTTCCTTTAACCGGAGTTCTGTTATCTACTCCAACCAGAATCTAGAGTGCATCTTACAGGCTCGGGAGTGTACTTCCTGCGTTGTAAAACTTCCTCTCTGATTCTTGCTTTACTGATCACGTTCAAAGGCAGGGATGAATCTGATTGGTGTAAATGTCTATTTATATCTATAAATAAACATCAGTATGTAAGAGGCATTAAGTGAAGCCAGTATGCTTCTTGAAGCACGGGCATGGTTTTCTCATATGGCCAACATAACAGAGTGCCTTGGCCTTGTGCAGTACAGCAGAGTATGCATATGTCAAGGCAAAAATAAATAACACAGTACATCTTTGCAGTATATTCATGCCTCCGGGTGTTCTATCCTTTTGAAGATCCTGCAAGCACAGACAAGTTCCTGTTCATCTGCCAGAAATGTATTCGGCTTCTAAGTCCTCTTGTGAACTGACAACACGTGCAATATGTGTGGACTGACCGTTGTCAGCCTGGCCGTTGTCTTTTGCTACTCAACCATTCCCACTCACAGATCTGTACAACATGAAGGCTAATCATGTTGTAGTCCAAGATGAGAACTAGTAGGTCTGTTTGAGAAAATATAGACCAAAAGGGAGCAAACAAAAGACATTAATTGTTGGGGTTTACATTCACTTTGGTTGTGCTGCTTGCCGGAGGTAACCTGAGAGAACAACATTTGGCTTCCATCTCCATCTTACAGACCTTGCTGAGTCAGAATACCAATCTGGAGGCCATACGGCTCTGTTCACACCTAGGCGTATTGAATATGCGCGTTTTGTGACGCGCTTTTTTACCGCGATTCGCGGTAAAAAAAACGTGCGCCAAACACGCTTTTCCGAGGGCTACTTGGCTGTATCCCAATGGAAACGCGCAAGAAAAACGCCGCAAAGAAGCTCATGTACCTTTTTCAGGCGTAGGCCGTTTTGTAGCGTGTTTAGACGGGCATAAATACGGCAAGGTGTGAACCATACCCATAGAAAACAATGGGATTTTCATGTTTGAGCGTTTCGTAGAGCGTTGAACGCGCTACAAAACGTACAGGTGTGAACCAGGCCTACTGCTTTCACCTAGTGGTCCTCGCATAGTATACAGTCACATTCTTGCTGCTCGTGTTGTGCTAATCATCAGTTGGTGAGTAATGGTCTTTTTGTTTTATACAGTTCTGTTTTGCTGAATTCCAATTCTAGTCTTTATGTCCAGTGTAAATAGAAGTATGATGTCCAGTGACATCACTAACACAACTATGCATGTGGAAAACTTACATGAAGTGTTATCACATGCATAGAGTTTATCAGTATTCTATACACTACTGCTTTGTAATCTGTATCACATTAATACATGGCCACAGTTTCATTAGAGTTATGTATAAGAGAGCAGCAGTCCTCGCATGAAGATTGGATGTATACTGTTTTTGTGAAATCCAAAAGGACAGAAATAGACTGATGTAAACCTGACTCATATCTACGTAATCCAAACTGACCACAGAATGAAATAATGGACGAGTAGAGGTCACTCTGAGCAAATGCTGCATGTCCGTATGATCAGTAGCTCTTGAGATCAAAGCAGGGGGTCTCTCCTCCCCTCTGTAATGCAAAGGGTTAAAGTGAGACCGCCATTCACCACAACACCATGTCATTTCCACAGATTCACTTTAAGCTTACCAATATGGTGCCGGTGATTTACACACAATAAATAACTACATTTACTTATGTCAGGCAAAAAAAGATTGGTTGCAAAGTAGCAATTACAACATCTTTCCAGCAAGCTTTCTCCCTAGGAGAGGCACCAGACTTGTTCCTGAGGTCCTTATCAGCTCCTGATACCTCCAACAGTCATAGGGCTCCTCTTGTTCTCATCCCAGACAGCTCCAGACAGCTCCAGACCTCTCCTGGCTCCACATGTGGCCTTGTCAACTTCTGCAACCTTGTACATGCCAAGCCTGGGGGAAGACTGCCTTGAGCACATGACAATCCCTGAGTATATTCCGGTCGAGGGGGGCGCTCAGCTCACGGAGCTCCAGCGGGATATCCAATGGAAGCTATCCCTGTATAGCACTCCACCTGACTCAGATACCATCACCAAGCTCATCTCGGAGGCTACCAACCTGAGACAGGCGGAGGCTCAACGAGCGGGAGACCGACAGACAGTGCCCGATGGAGGGAGCCGGAGGAAAATACCGTTTGACTCATTCCGACTCTTCCAGGACGGCCAGGAAGACATTGATGCGTACCTGGAGCTGTTTGAGACGCAGTGTGACATGCAGGGAGTAGAAGAGGCTGACTGGATGAAGATCCTGATCAGTAAACTGTCCGGTCGGGCTTTGAGTGCCCTCGAATCTACTCCTGCGGAAGACAGAAGGAACTACGAGCGGGTGAAGGAGAGGATCCTAGCCCGCTATAATATCACCCCGGAAGCTCATCGATTAAAGTTTCGAGGGCTGCGGAAGGAAGCCGAGCAGCCGTATACAGAGCTAGCACACCAGATGGCCCGAGCCGTGGATGCCTGGTTCGCGGGATGCCAAAT